GGTGCGGGCTCGGATCCTGGATGCGACTCTTTGGATTCGGCCCTTTGTATTCAAAATTAACCGTGACAAAAGTCTTGCTTGTCCTTAGCCAGTTGAGAAACATCTCACGATTTACCTCTTCCACCAACCCCATTGCAAGGGTGTGTGGGACCCTCGGGTGGGGGGGGGGGGGGTTCCACCTTTTTGAGTTAGCATTCTCATACTACTAGTATGGAAATGCCCTTGTTTTCTTAGGGAAGTGTTTCACAAGAAACAATGAGACACCCAATAATAAGTCTTTAAGTTCTTTATATAACCAATGCCTGTTGTTATTGATGGATACAGAGGTGGAAAGTGAGAAATCAGCAGGGAGAAGGGAAGAAGAGCAAGAGTGAGAAATTCCCACCGCCGCATCAAGACGGGTACATAGACGCCGGGCCATTATCATTTGGCGGTGGTGGGCCCGACGCCTCTTTTGCTTCCTCAAATTTCGGGGGAAGAACGTTGCCTTCGGTCCAAACTAGTGCCACGTCGAGGAGGAAGAAGAAGAGCGGAGAAGAGACAATGCCTCACGTGGGTCCCGCCCGGAAGTTCATACATGCATTCCTCCCATCTTCGATTTTGGATCTGAGAGTCCGGAGGAGGAAGAAGAGTAGAGCGTCCATTTCGGAGATCATCGGCCACTCAATGTAGATAATATGCAAGGAAGATGGATTTTATGTCGTGTTTGGTTGGTGTCTTTTCTTTTTTCTTTGCAAGTATATATCTCCCACATTTTTTTAAAATTTTGGTACAATAAACTAGTTAGAATTTAATGTATCCGAGGATATAATCCACATCTATTTTGGTTATACGGATCTTAGTTAATCATATGACTCTTCCAAATGAGAGGTTACGGATTCAGAAGCAATAACTCGTGATGTTTCGATATGTTGAAGAGACATGTTTATGCATTAACAGATATTACAATTGTAATAAAAAAAACAGAACAAGTGCACTTTTTCTTTTCATAAGAGGATTGAATGGTCTCCAATCCATAGTTTCAAAACCTAACAAAAGATAACAAAAAAAGAGCTTTTTTTGTATACCTCTGTAAATCAAGGATTCTAATGGCCACAAGTATAATATGAGATTTACCAAACAGAAAATTGTTCCTGACCAAATTCTGTTTTTGATGACTCGGTGTCTCAAAAAAGAATCCAATATCAACAAGTATAATAAGGACATGGAAGACGTTACTCCCCCGTCCCAAAAAAAGGTCCTAATTTGACTTGGCACAAAATTTAAAGAGAATGAAGTGTTTGGTTCAAGGCGATACACAAGAAAAAGAAAGATTGTGAGTCACTCAAAGCTATTCAAAAAAATGGAAAGAAGCTTTCTTGGGACGTACCAAAAAGGAAATAAGCTCTTTTTTTGGGACGAAGGAAGTATTATAATTTTTGGGCCATGCCAGGGGCACCTATTACTTACTGTTGAATGTATGTGAATATCTGCAAGAAACTTGGGGTGAAAAGTGAGGTGAGAGTTGGTGTGACTTCACCATTTTCCATTATTTTTTCCCGAGTAATTCATCCTAAGCAGTGGCAGCCATTGGAACAGATCTGTAGCATGCCCGTTTTGCTGCACGAACAATGTCTTCTATCTGTTGATTCAGTCATAGGCTTAGTTTTTAAGTTGAGATATGCAAGACCAATTTGACAAAAAAAAAGGCAATATGGGAGAGCAGAAACCTGTGGGACTGCCAGTCTTTCAAGATTTGCTGCATAAGGCATGGGTACATCAGCCCCGGCTATCCTTTCAACTGGCGCATCAAGGTACTCAAAGCTTTCCTCAACCACACAAGCACTGGCAAGTGGTGCCAATGATATGGTATAAACAAATTATCCAAATGTTAGAATGATATGAAATGGAAACGAAATGCATATAAACTTTTGGATTGGGTGGGGGGGGGGTAAAGA